AGACTTTGGGCACAATTTAGATATTTTCACTTACGGGTATACTCACTTTTGTTTCCAACGGTTTAAACATTAATGTCTGTGTGTTGAGTTATTTAGAGTGGAAATCAAATTTATGTTGTTATTAGAGGTGGGACTCGATTAAGAAAATTAATATCATTAATTTGAGGCTTTGTAATTAATTAATTGTGATTAATCGCATTTAATCGCACAAGAAAACACACCTTATTCAACCTTGCAACAATTCAACAATATTCAACCTTGCTTTTCCTTCTAGTTAACATTTCACTTGTGATTTTACATTATGTACTTTAGTGCTTATTTTAGTTCTTTGTTTTATATGTATCTGCTGCTTCTCCTATGCATCAGTGACAGCGATCTGTTTGCATACCTAGTACTTGCTTTGGTCCTATTTCTATTTACCTCTTTTTTATTCTCTATGTTTACTTGTTAAGCACATTGGTATACCCCTGGTTTTTAGGTTTGCTTTATAAATAAAATTTATTATTATTATAAGAAAATTTGCCCCAAAGTGCAACAGTATTTTTTAATTTATAGGGTTTTAGTGAGCGATAAAATCAAATAATAGACATGGACATGAATATTGTGAACTCAAACTCTTAATAACTCTTTTAATTTATGGGGGAAAGCATTTAAACTACATTTCAGTTCAAAACAGAGAAGCAAAAATAATACCCCTGGCCAAAATTGGTCAGACTTAAAAATAAAGTGCTATTTTAAGAACTTTAAGCACATTTTCAAAAATGGTATTGTCTTTAAATAATAATAAAATAAATTCAACATATTTATGATATCATCTTCTTAAAAAATAAGGCAGAAACATAGAAGGCAGAAATCCAAGAAGACCTATGACTCAATGCCCCACACCTGGATCCTGGAATGCCTGGAACTATACAAGATCAATAGGACCCTGAGAGCTTTTATCAGGAACTCAATGGGAATGTGCCAAACAACACTAGAGGCCAACCTCAAGCCTATAAAACAAGTCACCATCAAGTGCTAGATCTACCAAGGAGATGCTCTGTCCCCACTGCTGTTTGGCATAGGCCTGAACTCCCTCAGTGAGATCATTGACTACTGAATTGAGCAGTTGTCAGTCACCTCCTGTACATGGATGGCATCAAGCTGTATGCCAAGAGTGAACGAGACATTAAATTAACTGATCCACACTACCAGGATATACTGCAATGACATCGGGATGTCATTCGGGTTGGAGAAGTGTGTTCAGATGATAAAACGAGGGAAGATAGTCTGAACTGAAGGGATTGAACTACCAGAAGGCAACATTGCAGACATAGAGGACAGCTACAAGTACCTGGGGATCCCGCAGGCGAATGGGAACCACCAAGAGACCACCAGGAAAGCTGCAACCACCCAGTACCTGCAGAGGGTCAGGCAAGTCCTGAGGAGTCAGCTGAACGGTAAGAACAAGGTCTGGGCCATCAACACCTACAGCCTGCCTGTGATCAGGTACCCTGCTGGCATAATAAGTTGGCCAAAGGAGGAGATAGAAGCCACTGACATCAAGACAAGGAAGCTCCTGAACATGCATGAAGGGTTTCACCCCAAGTCCAGCACCCTGAGGCTGTATGCTAAGCGGAAGGAAGGAGGCCGGGAACTGGTGAGTGTCAGCGCCACAGTCCAGGATGAGACAACGAACATCTATGAAAACATTTTGAAGATGGCCCCAACTGACCACGTGCTCAGTGAATACCTCGGGCATGTGGGTTTTTTTGGTATGGTGAATGTGTTCAAGGTAGATACACGTAATTAATGCCAGGTGTTGTCGTTTGGAAGGAAGCAAACAGTTCGTGATCGCTACGCTGTCATATTAAATGGCTTTGGAATAACAATTCTAAAAAACAAGATAGGTACGGCTGGAGTTATTGAACTGTAGCAAGTTTCATAAGTTCATTCATACCAGTCACCCCGCCAACAGACACCTCAGTGGCTTCAAGCGTGGGCGTAGCCTCTCTCTCTACATATATTTGTATCTGATTAGGGTTTTTAAATGTGTTTCAGAATCGACTGGATGAGGCTATTGATGTGCTTAAGCGAGGCCTGAGAAGGGGCGATCAATTACCTTCCTTCAACTACCAGCTGGCTCTCTGCTACAAGCAGAAGAAAA